TTATTGCAGTAGTTCATATTGAGGGAGATTATTCTGAATCCTGGTCTTACAAGGACAGAGTAGAAAGCCCCCTTTCTTACTGTGGGAGAGGTATCTTGTGGCAGCCAATGTTGCCACTGTCTGTCTAATTCATCGTAGAGCCAACTTACACCATAGTCTCCAACAATGAAGGGAGGCGGAAAGCTAGAAACGAAAATAAAATGTCTGTAATTCAATGTCTTATATACCACCATTATCAAAGGACTGTTTTTTCTCTCTCATTTTTTTTTTAAGTGTAATTCTCTCTATTAAAAATTCCTTGCTTGAGAACTCTTACTCTCTTTACCTATTAACAGGAGCAGCCTCATGATTTCCCAGAGCAGGGAAGATTGGGACGTAAGGGAAATAGTTGATAAGCTGTTGCACTGTGGACCTCAGAATGTTCAAGTTGCTCTCTCGAGTTTGATTCCATATGTCATGAGGAGGAAGGTCTCCTGTCCAGATGATGTAGTCGATGTCCTGAGGAAGAAAATTTGTTAGTTATCATAATCTTTTCTTTTCTCTTTAGGAACTACTGTTTCAAATAATGTGAAACATAACATATTGCAGCTTCACATGAGTAAAGGATACTAAGGTGTATCTAATCCTTTTTTCATTACAATATATAATACACATTATATCACCTAATCACATCCTACCTCAACATTATTTTAAAAATTCAAAGTACTACTTCATAGTCCTCTCTTCTTTCATATGTAAAATAAATTCTTTAATAGTATCCAAAATGAAAACAAAATTCATATTATCATTACAATAAAAAAGACTCAATATTAACATAGATGAGTATCTAAAAATGAAACCCCTGTGAAAAAAATATACATATATCACTAGAACACATAAGACTTCAGTCATTAACAGGACATACTGGATGCAGGTAAGCAATATTCTCCAACATGCTCTGTATGGTCCTAGCAGGGGTGTCACACTTCCTGTAGTCTCCCCAGTATCCAGCTCTCTTATCTGGGGATCTCACTACTCCTGAGTTTGCTCTGCAGCACAAGGGTTCATTGCAGTCTGCATTCGAACCTTCTTGGTACTCTGGGTCGAAGTGTGTGTCTGAGAGGTGCAACACCTTAAATGTTGGCATTCCCTCCTGTTTCAAAAATAAAATGTATATTTTAGAGTTAAATATATCTATTAGTACAGTACTGCTCCATAAAAATAAAGAAACTATATCTATGTCAATACTTAATGAGAAAACTGCAATCTCCTTACTCATACTGAAAATTTGATCTTGTAGATTTCTTTTCCTAAATGATCAACATTAAAATGAGTCTTTGAATGAGTTGAATTTTTTCCGAAAGGATCTGCAAATCATCACTTACCGGAGGAGGCTCAGGGCGGGGGACTGGAGGCTTCTGCACAGGAGGGAAAGCCACGCGCCATTCGTGGTATGGGTTGTATGGAGTGCCACAGATGTCACCGATGACAAAGCCGCAAATTTCATCTGGGCTCATGGCTAAATTTTCTATCACATAAACAACCTCATCCTGTAATATGTTAGGCTTGTTACTTGAAGTGATAAACATGTTTTTGTAGGTCTTAAAGCTGAATTCTTTGTTATTTACAAGACAAAAGATTTACATATAGTTTATATTTGTAAAATGCAAATTGAATCACACAGAAACCTGAAACTGATTTTACAAAGGTTCACAAGCAATCTCACATGCAATTCAGTAATGAAAACTAAAAACTTTTCATGACTAAACTAAATAAATCATATTCATTTCTATAAACATGCAGATACTTCAGTGAAAGAGAAAACTGAAAGTATATAATCTTTTTCCAAAACTGTAAAATAAAAACAAAACTGATCCTAAACATAACTATGCATACTGCATAGGTAGCATCATGCAAAAAACCAACAAAAATAAAAGCTTCATAAAATATAGGCAAAGTACTGAAACACGATATACTACATCAAACACCTGTATCTCCACAACCAAAAGCCAAAATAAGCCCCCAACACTTACGGCCATGAGGTGGATCACACCAAAGCACACTCTGGGCGTCTCAATCTTGAAGGAAGTACAGAGCTTTGAGGCAGCTCGGATGATGTCCTCCTTCGTCTTGCCATTTTGAACGTAGTGCTGCAGGAGACCAACACCTGAAAAACAGATATTGGGTATGAGAATAAGGCTATATTAATCGTCGTTGTAATTAAGTTCAAGATCAAGTTAGAAACTGAGGATACATAAAACTGCATATGATAATGTCCTTCATATAGTAATATGTTACTAACTTCCAATACAAAGTTTGAAAACTCCTTTTTGGAAAAGGTTTGAGACAAAGAGAAAGGGGGAGGTAGGAAGGGAGGGAGGCAGTTAGTGAGGGAGGAAGGGAGGGAGTGAGAGTGAGTAAGGGAGGAAGGGAGGTAGGGGGAGTGAGTGAGGGAGGAGAGGCAAAAGGAAGGGAGGGAGGGAGAGTGAGGAAGTAAGAGACGGAAAGACAGAGGGAGGGAGGGAGGAGGGGGAGAGTGGGAGGAGGGAGGGAGGGAGGGAGGGAGGGAGAGGGAGGGAGAGAGGGAGGAGGGAGAGAGAGAGAGAGAGAGAGAGAGAGAGAGAGAGAGAGAGAGAGAGAGAGAGAGAGAGAGAGAGAGAGAGAGAGAGAGAGAGAGAGAGAGAGAATGAGAGATGAGAGAATAAAGAGAATGGAAAGAGGGGAATAGTGAGAGTGAGAAAGTGAGAGAGTGAGAGAGAAAGAGAGGGACAATGAGAGAAAGAAAGAATCAGAAAGAGAGAGAGGGAGGGAAAGAGGGAGAGGGAGAAGAGGGAGAGATGGAGAGATGGAGAGAGGGAGGGAGGGAGAGGAGAGGGAGAGGGAGAGGGAGAGGGAGAGGGAGAGGGAGAGGGAGAGGGAGAGGGAGAGGAGAGAGGGAGAGAGAGAGAGAGAGGAGAGAGAGAGAGAGAGAGAGAGAGAGAGAGAGAGAGAGAGAGAGAGAGAGAGAGAGAGAGAGAGAGAGAGAGAGAGAGAGAGAGAGAGAGAGAGAGAGAGAGAGAGAGAGAAAGAAAAGAGGGGACAGATATGGGAGAAAGAATCAGAAAGAGAGAGGAGAGAGGGAGGGAGGGAGGGAGGGGGGAGGGAGAGGGAGGAGGAGAGGGAGGGGAGAGAGAGAGAGAGAGAGAGAGAGAGAGAGAGAGAGAGAGAGGAGGAGAGAGAGAGAAGAGAGAGAGAGAGAGAGAGAGAGAGAGAGAGAGAGAGAGAGAGAGAGAGAGACAGAGAGAGAGAGAAGAGACAGAGACAGAGAGAGACAGAGAGAGAGAGAGACAGAGACAGAGAGAGACAGAGAGAGGAGAGAGAGAGAGAAGAGAGAGAGAGAGAGAGAGAGAGAGAGAGAGAGAGAGAGAGAGAGAGAGAGAGAGAGAGAGAGAGAGAGAGAGAGAGAGAGAGAGAGAGAGGAAGAGACAGACAGAGACAGAGACAGAGAGACAGAGACAGAGACAGACAGAGAGAGACAGAGACAGAGACAGAGACAGAGACAGAGACAGAGACAGAGACAGAGACAGACAGAAACAGAGACAGAGGAAAGGACACAGAAACAGAAAGAGACAGAGACAGAGACAGAGACAAAACAGAACAGAAACAGAAACAGAGACAGAAAGAAAGAAATTACACAAACAAGCAAACCCCAAAATAGGAATGACCAACAACGGATATAGTGAATGACATATGTTTGGGGGAAACAGCGATATTCCGTTACAGTTCCATCTTTTAACGTAAAGCGGCTGCAGTAACAATACAAGGTGTTGGCGTTAGCAGATCTGAGGCTAACGGTTAGATAACGGTAAAAAAAATAGGTCCCCCTTGAAAAGTTCCCGTTTTTTTCTTTGTATTAATAAACGGCGGAGGGGGGGGGGTGTAATTAAATGGCAGGGGAGAGGAGTTAGGTATATGGATGAGAGATAAAGGGAAAAATGTTGTTGCCGAATAAAAAGGGATATTATTATATCAATATGATGTTTATCCATTTTGTAACGAGGTAGGAAATAATAATCCTATCCCTACCCTCCCCGTCTCTCTTTTTTCCCTTTTCCTTCTACTCCCCTTCGATCTCCTCTTCTCCTCCCCTCCTTCCTTCGCCTTCTTTCGCCTTTTCCCCCTCCCTCCCTCTTTTCCCCCTCCCGTTCTCCTCTTCTCTCCCTCCTCCCCTCCCCTCTCATCTCTCCTCTCTCCCCTCCTCGGCCTCCCCCTCTTCTCTCCTCCCCCCTCTCCCTTCTTCCTCTCCCTCAATAACACCAATTATATAACTGGCAGCCGAAAAAAAATCACCAACAACCCATAAAAGTACAGAACTAAACTAAACCGCAAATAAACAATAAACCAGATAAAGGAATTAAAAGCAACTGGCAGCCAAGACCACCCACGCAAGCGAAGGCAGACGACAAGAGAATGCAACAGGATGCAAGCACACTCATCCTGACTGTTCATTCATTGGCCTCATACATTGCCCGTTGTCCACCTGCCCCCCACCCCCACCCCCACCCCTGCCGCACACGCCGTACACCATGTCACGCCCTGACACACTTATCTACCTCCCCTCTCTCTCTCCTCCCCCCACCTGCTTAAGATGCTCGTTTCCTCTCGTCTAACATACCCTTTGCCAATACTTTCTGCTCTGTTTCTCTTCTCCTATTATCCCCCTCCTATACCCTCTTAACCCACCTGGCACACCCTTTGCTCTGTCTCCTCTCTTCTCCTCCTCCTGCCACCACTACTCTGTCTGCCCTCTCCCTACCCTGCCAAACCACTGTTCTGTCTGCCTATCTAACCCACCCTGTCCCAAACCACTGTTCTGTTTTCCTCTCTCCCCTAATCCTGCCAACACTTGCTCATGTCTCCTCTCTCCCCTTCCCCTGGCTCTCAACCCGCCCTACCCCCCTTCCCCTGCCAACAATGGTTCAATCCCTCTTTCCCCCGCGCTACCAAACTACTCTATCTCCTTCCCACCCCCTACTTGCCACCCTCTGCCACCACTGCCTCCCCTATCCTGTTCTTCACTCTCCTTTCTCCTACCCCTGTTCCCCTTCTCTGCCAATCACTGTTTTATTTCCCCTGTCCACTTTCTCCGCTCCTCCACCACCACAGCTGACCTCCTATTCCCCCCCTGCCACCACAGGCTGCTGAACCTCTTTCCCCCGCCCCTGCCACCACAAGCCCTTACCCCTCCTCCCTCCCCCGCTTAAAAACCACAGGTTGACCCTTCCTTCCCCCCCCCCCTTTGCCACCACACAGCTGACTCCTCCCTTCCCCCCTTGCTACCACAACGGCTGCTGCTTGCGCTCTCTCTCCGTCTAGCTCTCTGACCTCCTTCCCCCCTGCCAACCACCAGCTCTTGTCCCCTTCCCCCTGCCACCAAAAGGCTGACCCCCCTCGCTTCCGGCGTTCCCCCCCCCCCCCTCCCCCCCCCACCCTCCCCCCCCCCCCCCTCCCCCCGCCCCCCCCATCCTCACCACCAGCAGCGCTGCTGACCTTCCCCCCCCTGCCAAACCACAACGCTTGACCTCCCTCCCCCCCCCTGCCACCACAGCTGACCTCCTTCCCCCCCTGCCACCACAGTACCTCCTTCCCCCCTGCCACCAAACGGCTGACCTCCTTCCCCCCCCTTCTCCCTGCCAACCCACAGCTGACCTTCCCCCCCCCCTGCCCACCAAACCAGCTGAACCTCCCTCCCCCCCCTGTCACCACAAGCTGACCTCTTTCCGCCAGGGTAAGGGGCGTCGGCCCGTCCTAATCTGGCATACCCCTCTGGGCGAATGTGCTCAACCTGTAATCACATATACCTCAGGACCTAGTACGACATGACCCCTGCTCACCCCACTCCAGAACTGCGATCCGGCTCTGACCAACACTGTTTCATAGTGGCGGGTCGTATTCATCCGTTTACCACCAAGTGTTTCCAAACCCATAGCGACACACAAACGGCATAGCCTGTACCGCATAACGCGTCCCGAAAATGAATCACTCTCAAGGTCACCACAGCGATCCCCTTTATTTACTTTTACCCCCCCCCCACCCTTGCCCACCACAGCTGACTCCTTCCCCCCATGCCCCACAGCTGCCTCCCTTCCCCACCCCTTGTTTCGTTTACCACCACAAGGTTCCTGACCTCCTCCCCCCTGCCACCACAGCTGACCTCCTTCCCCCCTTGCCATCACAAAGCTGACCTCCTCCCCCCCCTGCCACCACAGCTGACTCCTCCCCCCATTCCCCCCCTCCCACCACAGCTGACCTCCTCCCCCCTGCCACCACAGCTGACTCTTTCCCCCCTGCCACCACAGCTGCCCTTCCTTCCCCCCCTGCCACACAGCTGACCTGACCTCCTCCCCCCTGCCACCACAGCTGACCTCCTTCCCCCTGCCACCACAGCTGACCTCCTGCCACCACAAGCTGACCTCCTTCCCCCCCTGCCACCACAGCTTGACCTCCTTCCCCCCATGGCCACCACAGCTGACCTCCTTCCCCCATGCCACCACAGCTGACCTCCTTCCCCCCCTGCCACACAGCTGACCTCCTTTCCCCCCTGCCACCACAGCTGACCTCCTTCCCCCCATGCCACCAACCTGACCTCCTTCCCCCTGCCACCACAGCTGACCTCCTTTCCCCCCATGCCACCAAGCTGACCTCCTTCCCTGCCACCACAGGACCTCTTCCCCCCCTGCCACACAGCTGACCTCCTTCCCCCCAGCCACCACAGCTGACCTCCTTCCCCCCCTGCACCACAGCTGACCTCCTTCCCCCTGCCACCACCAGCTGACCTCCTTCCCCCTGCCACCACAGCTGACCTCCTCCCCCCCCTGCCACCACAGCTGACCTCCTTCTTCACCCCCCTGCCCCCACAGCTGAACCCTCCTGCCACCACAGCTCCTGCCACCACTGACTGACCCCTCCTATGCCACCACAGCTGACCTCCTTCCCCCCTGCCACCACAGCTGACCCTCCTTCCCCCTGCCACCACCAGCTGACCTCCTTCCTCCCCTGCCACCACAGCTGACCTCCCCCCTGCCACCACAGCTGACCTCCTTCCCCCCCTGCCACCACAAAGCTGACCTCCTTCCCCCCTGCCACCACAGCTGACCTCCTTCCCCCCCCCTGCCACCACAGCTGACCTCACCACAGCTGACCTCCTTTCCCCCCCCTGCCACCACAGCTGACCTCCTTCCCCCCCTGCCACCACAGCCCCTCCCCCCTGCCACCACAGCTGACCTCCTTCCCCCCCTGCCACCACAGCTGACCTGACCTTCCCCCCTGCCACCACAGCTGACCTCCTTTCCCCCCCCTGCCACCACAACTGACCTCCCCCCCTGCCACCACAGCTGACCTCCCCCCCCTGCCACCACAGCTGACTCCTTCCCCCCCCCCCACCACAGCTGACCTCCTTCCCCCCCTGCCACCACAGCTGACCTCCTTCCCCCTGCCACCACAGCTGACCTCCCCCCCTGCCACCACAGCTGACCTCCTTCCCCCCTGCCACCACAGCTGACCTCCTTCCTCCCCTGCCACCACAGCTGACCTCCTTCCCTACCTCACCTCCTTTCCCTCCCCTGCCACCACACTCACCTCCTTCCCCCCCCCCTGCCACCAGTGCCACAATTTACCAACAGTCAAATTCACCTTCGACAGGATATGAAGGTAGTGTTATGATTCATTGTGGTGTTGTGTGTGTGTGTGTGTGTGTGTGTGTGTGTGTGTGTTGTGTGTGTGTGTGTGTGTGTGTGTGTGTGTGTGTGTGTGTGTGTGTGTGTGTGTGTGGTGTGTGTGTGGTGTGTGTGTGTGCGTGTGCGTGTGCGTGTGCGTGTGCGTGTGCGTGTGCGTTGCGTGTGCGTGTGCGTGTGCGTGTGCGTGTGCGTGTGCGTGTGCGTGTGCGTGCGTGCGTGTGGCGTATATTCGGCGTGGGCGTGTGCTTGTGCTTGAACGTGTACTCTCCAGGCCCGTCCGTGAACCAACACTCACCAAAGCCAAGCCAGGAACCAAACCAAAATCAAGCACCCCCTTCCTATTCCCCCACCCCAAGAGAAACTCCCCTTTCCTCCCTTCCCTCCACTTTCCCTTCCCAACCCTCCCCCTTCCATCCCCTCCCCCTCCCTCCCTTCCCCACCCTTCCCCTCCCCTCCCCCTCCCCTTCCCCCTCCCATCCCCTCCCCTCCCTTCTCCCCCTCCCCTCCCATCCCCCTTCCCCCTCCCCCTTCCAACTCACCGGCCTTGCACGCGTTACAAGACATGGTCGACATAATGGACGTCTCGATCTCCCTGACGACCATCTCGAAGTCGAGGAACTTCCCTCCTCTCCCCTCCCCTTCCCTTCCTCTCCTCCCCTCCCCCTCCCCTCCCTTCCCCTCCCATCCCCTCCCCATCCATCCCCTTCCCTTCCCTTCCCCTCCCATCCTCCCCCTCCCCCCTTCCAACTCACCGGCCTTGCACGCGTTACAAGACATGGTCGACATAATGGACGTCTCGATCTCCTTGACGACCATCTCGAAGTCGAGGAACTTCCCAGATTGGAGAGGAAGCTGGGCAGCCGCGATTCGCCAATCAGCTTTCCCTCCCGCTTGTTCACTCTCTCCAGTTCGGCGTCCAGCTCGAGGCGGAGGGCCGTGTAGTTGAGTCTGTGGGAGAGAGAGAGAGATGAGAGATAGAAGAGAGAGAAAGAGATGAGAGATAGAAAGAGAGAGAGAGAGAGAGATAGAAGAGAGAGAGGGAAAAATAAGGATTAATTAGGTGGGAGAGGGGAAAAAGGATGCTGGCGGTGGGAGGAAGGGAGAGATGGGGAAAAGGAGGGAGAAAGGAGAAAACGAGGGAGAAATGGAGAAAAGGAGAGAGGATTAGGAGAAGAAAAAATGTGAAGTGTTTATGATGACTTGAAATTAGCTAATCGTTGATTCGAAGAGGGATTATTGGAGGGAGAGGGAGAGGGAAAGAGAGAGAGAGAGAGAGAGAGAGAGAGAGAGAGAGAGAGAGAGAGAGAGAGAGAGAGAGAGGAGAGAGAGAGAGAGAGAGAGAGAGAGAGAGAAGGAGATGGACTGAGTGGGATAGATTCTATGTGAATTAATTATGACATCTCTCGAAGAAAATTCATAAAGGCCTTTCTATTTTGAAATATATATCTCTAGGAGGCTAAATTTGAAGCAAAGAATCAGAGGCGGTTATATTTGAAGCAAGTACTTCAAAGGAGACTAAACGCTGAAGTAAATACTGGCAACTAACCAAAACCCGAAATGTCTGAACACTTCCTTTGAAAATGACAAAGACAAAATGACAAATAAAGTCTTTTTACTCCTCCCTTGAAGATAAAACACCAACCCGCCCTATTCTGATTGATTGATTGATTGATGACTGATGGTCGATGACACATGACTGATGCTTATTGTCTGATGATCGATGACTAATGATTAATGACTGAAGATTGAAGCCTGATGAAGACTGATGACCTATGGCTGACAATTGAGGAAGACTAATTACTGACGACTGATGAAGACTAATTACTGAAAACTTACTGATGAAGACTAATTACTGAAAACTGATGAAGACTAATAAATGAAGACTAACTGATGAAGACAAACTGAAAACTGACTGATGAAGGTTAAGGTACTAAAGACTGATTGATGAATATCAATTACTGACGACTCCTGATGAAGACTAATTAAGACTAAATATCGACAACTAATGACATGACGACAAAGAACCAATCAGACTCACCTGGACGGATCGAACCTCTCTACCTTGTCCTTCTCCTCCTCCGTGGTGGGCTCAGGCATATCCAGGACGCCCGTGCGACCGCCCTCTTCCGCGCCCACACCCAGGTCCTTGGAGGCATCCTGGTCCTCGACGTGGGCGTACAGAGGGTCGAGTGGGTCGTCTGCTGCATCGTGGGTGAGGCTGGAGGACAGGGGGCTACCTGGAAGGGAGGAAGAGGGAGAGAGAGAGAGAGAGAGGGAGATAAATGATAGGGATGAAGACGAGAGGAAGGTCTTGTGATCGGTTAAGTGGTATCAAAGTCAATATTGATCGGTTATTTTAGCTGTCGTATATCAGGTCAGTGGTGGGTTATCATGCAATACAACCCGGTATTGTTCAAAGACTCATTAGTCAGTTTAGAAAATTGTACAAAATGAGGCCATGGGGATTATTCTCGGTGCTCCTAAAACGACGAGGATTGTGAATATGGGAACAGAACTTAATCTAAATACCGTCTACGAAATAATTTTATAAATAAATGCCACAATTGGAGAACCACACTATTGTACAGAGTTCCAAAGACGACTAAAACGACTCTGAATGATAACTTCAATTCATACTCAAAACCACGGCTACAAGTAACATGTAAACACTTATCTCATCTGAACATACCCATATCTAAGACCTTACACGGGCGTTCTCTTCCACTGTGGAAAGTGTCCGACCTAAAATATATTTTATACGACTACCCCCAAAAGGACAGTGTCCCCCTGCTATACTTAATCAGTGAGCAGTAGCAATTATAAATGAACATTTTGAAATTCCGTCCAATGCATATTAAAGCTACACCGACGGATCCTCGCAGTCTGGGAGCAGAGCAGGATGCCCTTTTGTCGTATATAAAAACGATATTTTGCAGCACCCAGTTTGCAGGAGTGTTTATGATTGTACTAGAACGCAAACCGAGTTGACTGGGTACAAATAGCCACTGAATTTCTATTGAATGAAGAGTCTAGAGGTTCTTTTCTGAGATTCACAGAGTGCTCTCCAGGCTTTGAACAACTGAAGTTAATTAAGTTTATCTACCACCCCGGCTATCTGCTCAGGCGTAGGCAATCGTGATTACAGTCTTTTATATAGATTCGCATCTATTCGACATAGTACAGTATTCTGTGATTGCTATAATGTGCATGGTAAAATGAAAATATGTCATACGGCATGCAAATGAATATTGAGTTGATATACTTTTGCTGTTGTGTTAATACATAAAATTGCTCTAAGATTGCGATAATTTGACATAGTGAAATTTAGGATATAATATGAGTATATCTTCCAATGTATTATTCGAAATCAAATACTCACATAGGTCTTTATACCTCATGGTAGGTGGTCTGAAAGGCTTATCAAATAACACTCCGAGATGCAGTGATCGCGTGTTCGCTTATTTTTT